CTTGGTGTGTACAGCATGTAGCCATTCATACAGCATGGTGTTTTAATAGTGCTCCGAGTGAAGAGCTTGCTGAACAGTGCAACAGTAGTGATCTATCTATGTAGAATCTGAACCCTCAAACCTTCATGTCCAGGTTTAAAGATTACTCCACACTGCTGCCTAGTTCTAGTCTCCTATTTAAGTTACAGTTTAACATAGTTAAAAATATTAAAATTCAATCACATGTTCTCCTTCTGTTACTGAAAGTACAATTGCTAAAAGATTAGTCTCTAAAACTAAAATCCATTATCCGATAATGCTTCTGATTGAATTTCAATCAAGACAGGCTAGCTTTCTGAGACTGATTACTTATTGATTTATGCTGACACATTATTTCCATCTTATAGACAATGTGGGGAAGTAACAGGAAAATGTTATACACTTACAGTAAATTTGCAGAACTTTAATCAAGAGATATTAGGTTAAAATGAATACACTAATAAGGTCTAATTTAACATATTGTGTACAGTTGTAATGTTGTGTGTGTTAAGCTGCTGTTGCACTGCAATTTCCCTCACGGGATCAATAAAGTATCTATCTATCTAATCACCACATTGCTGGAATCAGTCCAGAGAACAGCAACCAGATGCATTCTGGGGCTGGAGAGATTGTCCTACACTGACCGGCTGAAAGAACAGGACACCGAGAAGACTACAGGTGAAGGTGCATGTAGTTAAAAACCTCTAAGGCATCAACGAAGCCTTGATTTCTTCATGACCAGCAGTGAAACATGAGCAAAAGGACAAAGTGGAAACTACTACATTGAGTGCATTAAAAGCTGAGGATAGGAGGCACGTATTTATAGACAGTCTGGAACAAACTACCTAGGCACGCTGCTGAACCCAATACCCTGGCTTCTTCCAAGACATCCTCAGATCAATTAGCTACTAACTGCCAATCAGGCAAGATTAACCAGTATAACAAGATCATTCCACTAATTGAATTCTTTCTGCTGTAGGAGTCAAGATGCAGTTACAGAATGTCAGTTTTACACATAAAGCAAAACATTTGTGCTTTATAATATCATTTTTGTTCCATTTCCATCGCGTGGGACTCTTTTATGGTACCTATGTGCTACAGTAAGGAAAAAGCACAAACAATAAAGCAGCTCATGGAAAATAATTAGGGAAGAGACAGGAGCTTCTGGGAAAATCAAGTCTTTCCCCTGAAACGATCTTCACCCACTCCAGCTCTGTGATATTCTGTCTGGAGCAGCAGCTGCAGCTGCCCCAAAGGAGATACAGCTCTCACCAATCCCAGCTCAGCATGGCAGCCTGGCCAGCTCTCTCCCGCATTACTGCCCACAGCTCTTCTTGAAACGTGTCGGATTAAGTTAATTATCTGGAGACGAGATCACCAGGGAATTAGAGACTGCACACTGACTATGGTGGCTCTGATAATGGGGTAGTAATAATGACAGTGGTATCTGTAGTAATAATTTACACTAATCACTCATATTGCAGATGTTTAACTTGCTTTACCAGAAACTGAAGACGGACAGGGACATTCTCTGCTTGTTCCCCATGTCTCTGGACAGTTACTGCGGTGAGTGTTTACTTTATCATGGTCAACAGCAAAGGGGTGTTATTGAGTCTGACAGCACGCCTCCAGTTTCACTAGTATGTTGACATTCATTCAGCACAGGCATTGGTCTGTTTTGTGGTGGATGCACTAATGTCTGTCACTTTTAAGATTATTAAAGCTAAAATTAAAGTGATCTCCATGACTGTCACATCTTTCCTTGTTGTAATAACTAGCAGTAGAAACCATGGCTTGTGAGCCTGTAAAACAGCTCTGTTTTAAAGTCTTCTTATATGGGTTCTGTGTGTGCTGTGTAAATCCTGTTTTGTGTCTGTTTGTAAGCTTGTAAGTCCAGTCACTTTGTTTCTGAGGCCATGTGTATTTAGAGCAGAGGTGTCAATTACAGCACATGCTAATGTCTTCTGATCTATATTCCACCCGAGCTCTCAGATACAGGCCTAATTATTTAACTTACATGATTGTAATATTTTTAACATGGCTCCAAAGTGTTTCAGTGTTTTACAGATATGTACAGCAACTGTACTTTTTATGAAGTGGGTGCTTTTAGTTGTCAACTGTAAAAGCCTTTAAGAAAAATCCCACACGTGTCTAAGAAAGTATAATAATTAAGCTTGTTGTTTAATTGATTACTGAGGTTGGAACCAAGACCCTGCAGTACCTGAGTTTGACACCCCTGGCTCAGAGGCTGTGACCTCATGTCTGGGATCCAGATTTCTGTTCTACAAGCGTGTTGTACAGTTAGTCGACTTTGAAAGAAGCACCTCCTCCCACAGCTCAGTTAAGTGTCTAATTAATGAAATTCAATAAAGAGATGGACAATTGATTTAAATTTGCTTCTGATAAATTTAGAAATGTCCAAAAGATTTATGCATCAACCCAATCCGTAATTGACAGCCGTGTTGGACGGTTTTCGGGTTGCTGCTCCTGTGCTATGGAACACTAGGAGCGAGAATGAAAGGCATCCTGCTCTGAGCATCCACCTGCAGAACCATTTCTTATTTGACAGCCCTATTGTTTAGAATGAGAATTGTGTAAAATATCAAACTGAACACCACAAATGAGTTTGCAGATTAATAAAACAAATTCATTTCTCTTGCAGGCTAGCAGGGGCCCAAGTCTCACACACAGTCTAGGCTCAGAGGTGTGGTGGGAAGGGGACAGAGCGGGACACCTGGAGCGCCAAGATGGATCCAGATCTGAGCTTTCACCCCGAGGAGCAGGAGGTGTTCTTTGAGGATTACAAACCCCCGTCCCGGGATGCCATCTACCTGCCCAAATACATCCTGTACCTGCTGATGGCCTCTCTGATCGTGGTGGCTGTGCTGTACGCCATCATCGGCCACCTCATCAAGGACCTCATCCACGACTTCGCAGGTACGAGCACCAGGGGGGAGATCCTGTTGTTTATGGGCTCAGGGGCCACTGCTGTGGGGTCCGGCATGTGTGAGAATGCTGGTTTCAGTGATGTGGCTCGGAAGTCCAACAGATAAGGGAATCGTTCAGCTATGAAGCAGGGTTCATACCCCTGGCTAGCTGTCTGTTACTCTTAGCAAGTTCATGAGCTTCATTCTCGGGATGAAGCCTGTGAGGGACTTGGTAGCAGCAGATACAGACACACAAGTTCACCTCTAGTTTTTTTAAATTAATAATTCCTTAAACCCTAGGCCTAATTCTTCTCCATTTCCCCATCCGCACCAACCAAACCTCATACTCAGATTTGTGGTGGTGGTTCCCATGCCAACAGCAGGACCATATGCCTTAGCTGACCACAAGCTTCCTGGTCCGTCCAGGCCAGGGGAATCAGACTCAGGTCCCCGAAGGCCTGGGCAGCCATAAGCGAACGATTTGTTAAATTAAAGGTTCATCTCTTCATTAAACCTAATTAGCTAAATGATTGAACCAATTATTGAGTTGAAGGAACAGTCCTGCTCTTCATCGCCGGCCCGCCTCTGTTTTCCCCACAGACTGGCTGTTTGGGATGGAGCCGGAGGAAGTGAGGGTCAATCCCTGGCAGAGTAAGGACAAGTTTGAGGTGGACTGGTCCCCCGAGACCAGCCCCGAGCTGCAGGAGCTGGCCAAGGCCGAGCAGATCGAGGTGGTGGTAGAGGGAAGAAGGGGGGTGCCCGCCGTCTGGGTGATCTCAGACACCCGAGAGAGCCGCCCCCCGCGATCCGGGCCAAAGGTGGCCTTTGGAAAGCTCAGCTGACCAGTCCAGGCTCAGGGAGCGGATCCTTCTCTTTCTTTGCATTTGATTGTCATCTGTACTGAACTTCATCTTGGTTTCGGCAGGCTATGCTTTCAAATCTGAGTAGCATGCTTGGATACTGCTGCACAAAGAATGCTACATCAATGTATATCTGCATTATACAGTAAATATGTCTTTTTTTTAAATACCAGCATAATAAGCCTCCTCATCTCCCCATTTGGGAAGTAGAAAAAAACAGCCTGCACCATAGTCTCCTTACTCAGTATTGTGAAATAATTTAATAAATATCCTCATCTCTCTTTACTCATTTTCTCTTTCAATTACTCAGAGCAGATGCTGTCTGTTAAATCTGTGCTTTATAATCAACAGAGAATTTTCCCATATCTGCAAAATGACTTTCAAGTGATGTGAAGTCACGTTTGCTTGGGGTGATGGTAGGCGTTTGGACACTGTAGATCACGTCTGGGGGTTGATGAGCTTTTTGTCAGATGGGTTTTCAATGCCAAATGAGCTAAATGGGAAAGCAAGGAGAGCACCTGGGTGGTAAACCAGGCGTTTTTCATTTGTATGTTTATCAGCTGGGGAACAAGAATACCTGTCAGAAGTATGTCCTAATTTCTTCACGTTTTGTGCTGTCCCAACTGCTTTTCCAGAGGATCATTAATGCACCAGCCTGAAGTCACCAAACCACACCCTGACTCTGTATCTGAGTGTGGAGCTGTGAATGAAGAATGTTAGACCGAAAAAATTGATTTAGAATCGACACTGGCTACATCACCACAATTATTGGTGATTCGGAGCCAACACTTGACCAAATTTGATAGGTAAAAGAGAAAAAGTTGTCCAATACTTTCAGAAGACTGAAATGCCAAGTCTGATTACCAGCAATGAAACTAAGTGTACTGTAGTTCCCACAGCTAACAGCTCATCGCCAAATGTAGCACTGACACAAGATCCTTTTGTGTTTCATCAAATTAATTTTTATTAAAATACAGCAAAATAAAATAATTTGTTCTTTTTCATTCCCTTGCAAATACCATCACAATAATGAAGACTGAACTGAATTATCATCTGATTACAGTTCTGTTTCCCAGAGAACTTACACCCTGCATCCTGTGATTGAAATCACTGGTGCAAAGAGTAAGAACAGTAATAAAACTACCTATCTCTTGGTAACTACTGATAAAAACTATCGCCCTGCACTTCGCCCTGTGCGAAAATCACATTTGAAGGGGATGTTCATGAAGCAGGCACAGGTGAGAACACGCTACTAAACACAGGAACAAAATGTCCCTTCAAAGAAGATCTCTAGCCTGTCTGCTGCTGGCTGTTTCAGCTTGTGAAGCAGAGCACGGTAAGTCAATTAGGAAAAGATTCTGTTTGTTTTATGTTCACAAGTTACACCAACAGTTTAGCTTTTGCCTAAAATGATCGTTCTATACTGTATGTACTGTTTGAGTCAGAAACATGTAGACACTGCACAAAGCAGAAATCTAGCCATTCGGCCTTCATGTATTGTTTTATATGATCCTACATTATCACAATGGAAGAAAACAGGAGTTAAGACATTGGCTACTAATTCGCATTTGAAAAAAAAATCCAGACCTGGGGTGCTATCTGTGTGTATGTTCTCCCTGCGCTCGAGTGGTTATCCTCTTGGTGCTCTGAGTTACTCCCACAGTCCAAAGACATCCTGGCAGGTTAATTGGCTTCTGGGAATACTGGCCCTGGTGTGAGTGTGTGTGTCTGTGATAGACTGGCGTCCTGACCCGGGTGTACCCTGCCTTGTGTCTGTTGCTTGTCGGGATAGGCTCCAGCTCAGCACACTGAGTTGAAAAGCAGTTAGGAAAATGGATGGATGGATAATACATTTATAATGCATTATACAATAAAACATATTGCAAACCCCAGTCTTCTTTTTATCAAAATAATGTACTAAAAACAGAGATCCTCTTAAAAAGAGCTTCTCAAATGGTCTCAGTCATGCTGTAATGGAAGAAGCAGTAACCAATCCTTTGACAGATGCTTTTAAAATTTAAGTAACTCATGTTTGATGTTTTCTTTGCACTGAGATGGCAGGGTTTTCAAACCACTGACAACACGCAGTTATATAATTGGTCTAAGCATTTAAATTAAATGCATAATACTTCTAACCAGGCTCTCAGGTGTTTTATGATTAACTGTATCTTTAAATAATAGGTCTTGTGTCTTTATGCGATTCAATCCGGCCGTGATGTTGAAGTCAACACCTCTGATCAATTACTTATTAACTATTAAACAGGCTGGATGGGCTGAATGGTCTCCTCTTGTTTGGAGCTCTTACTGAAGGTTTTTAATGAAGTGAATGTCTTACCTAATCAATTGGAAAAGACCTTTGAACCTTGCTGCTGTGTGAGTCAAGCTAAGAAAATGATCAGGTTAATTATTTAATGGACCCCTCAGGTGGGAACAAAAATGAGAACTGAGTTTCAGACTGAGAGGCCCCCCAGGAACTGAGTTTCACACCCCCAGTCTAAATCTATGCAGTTTTACTACAGCTCCTGTTCTCTGATTTAGAGGACCTAATTGCTCAACCTGTGACCTTCCTCTGCACTGGGATTTATCATGCCTTGTATTTCATTTCCTTTTAATTCCACGCGTGCATGCTGTGCCGCAGCCATGATCTTCTTTATATAGAAAATCCTATTGACCGTAAAAGTGAGCACAATGAATTGTCAGGAGATTGGCTGGACTGAGCCAGCGGAGAGCACTGAGCTACTGTAGTTAGTATTCCAGCTGCGAGGAGAAAATGTCCGGGATATCTCCTGTCCGTCTACCTGTTGTCAGCTGTTTGTGATGGCTGGCACGCAGCCTGCCTCTGGAGTTCTCCAGGCGGGATTGCAAGATCAGCAGTAGCTGAGCTAATGAAGCTGCAGTAATAAAATTGTAATGCTGCCTTGTTACCACATTTGGAGGGCACCTGTGCAGATTAAAGTAATTTACTGGGCAGAATTCTAGCTAAGTGTTGTATAAGACAAGAGTCCCCCTCCCCTCAAAAACAACTTATGGTTAAGGATGCAGACCAGGAATTTATTGATTTTGCCCTTTTCCGCTCCTAACCTCGGAAAATGCAGAAAGACGTGATCCTGCTATTTTGGCTGGGTTCGTTAATGGGTGCCTACGTGAGGATGATGGTGATATAAGGATTCAGAACAACTGTAAGGCAAAAGAGCGCCAGACAGGGCCCTCAGCACCAGGTGTCATGACTGAACTACCCGTCACCTTGCTGGCTCTCTCTTCCCATGACTAGGTGGGCTGCGGGCAAGCTCAAGCACTGCCACCCTGCAGCCGTGGCTGATCGGACTGGCAGCTGTGGTGGGCTTCCTGTTCCTTGTCTTCGTCCTGCTCATCATCAAGCGAGTGTTCTTCAAAACAGACGAGTAAGTGCTCTCCCGGGGGAACGGCACAAACAGGTGCTCTGCAGCCTGCACGCTGCGCTTTGCAAACCGCACTGCGTTTCGGTACCCTGCAGTGGCTCCCGGGAGACGCTGCGCAGCACGCCTGCTTCTCCCATGCTGGCAGTTAGCCAAGCCAAGGAGCAAACAGGAAATGGCTGTCGTGGCACATGGCTCGGTTCGGAGCTTTTTTGCACATCCTGCCTTGATTCTGAGTTACCTCCTGACAGAACTGGCCCTGGTGAGAGTGCGTGTAACGGTCTGCCCTGCACCTGCTGCTCGCTGGGATAGACTCCAGCTCCCCCATGACCCTGAACTGGAAGAAGAGGTTAGATAAAGGATGGATGGCTTTCCAACCAGTCTGCTAGAGACCCCTGCAGCTTGTATCACTCGTTCTACCTGGGCCCTTGATACAACTAATAATATTCTAATAGTCTCTTCAAATACATAACTACTCTGAAACTGACAGCTTTATAAGCCCTAGAAAACCTTTCCTAAGAAGCAATAATCTTATTTATTGTTGTTTATTTAAGAGAATAATACATTATTAGTTTACTAAATGTTTCCATTAAGTAACTGAGTGTTACCCAATTGATAAACAATGTGTCAGGAAGATCAAGGCTGGCCTGTTCCACAGCTCAGTTACGATCCACACTCCTGGGCCTGGACAATCAGAGCTCTGAAGGTCCCACAGGGACTCAACGATTTGAAAGCAGCTAGAATTGAAATCAAAGTCTTCCAAAGTCATTAAGTGCTCCGGGGGCAGCACCCTGCTTGCTCCCTGTTGCTTGCTGGGATAAACTCCAGCTCCCCTGCAACCCTGGACTGGATAAAGCTGGTAAATGGAAGGATGGATAAAAGCTCAGCTCAAATGAAAACCAAAGATCTTGTGGCTCTGGGAGCACAAACTTCCTCTCTAACACATCCTGCCTGTGTCTGTCATGAGGAGAAGAGGTTGCCGTATAGCACTGTACTTATTTTCCTGAGTTATATACAGTATGTCACATTTCACGGCCAAGCTGGGTTTCCAAAGTAGGGATAAACTGCACTGGATATTAAAATAGCAAATACCATTAATGATGATCCCTCCAACCTATTTATCCAGTACAGGGGGGAGCTGGAGCCTCACCTGGAAAGTAATGCATTCAGGACAGTGTACACCCTGGACAGGAGGCCAGTCCATCACAGACTGACAGTGATTAATTAGGTGTAAATTTCAGTAGGAAACTACTGTAGACCATGGGCGGAAAAGCACAAAAACAGTTCTTTTTCATAACAAAAACCTCTAAATACAGCAAGAAAATGTGATGTGGGGCTTTAATAGATGCAAATGTATTCACAGAGCATTAGAGGACAGAAAACCCGAAACGCAGGGATGATCAGACACAGGCACTGAAAAGAAGGGCTGGCCGCGTCCCCAAACATAAAAACACACCCTTCAAACTTTCTGCTCCAGCTCATAAATCACGCCGAATGACAGAAATAGCAGCTTATCTGCCCTTTCTGAATTCTTTCCTGGTTGAAATGCCAGACCGCTGAATTCCAGTTTCTTGATAAACAGCTCTGGTGACTATAGAAAGTTTACACATCCTTTCCAAAGTCACACGTGACCAAATTAGAAATACAGCAACTCTGGTGCCTGGAAAGGTAGGCAGGTCCCTTTCCAGGCTGTTAAGGCCCAGGGGGAATGGGGGTCAAGGGCCACCCCTTTTCTCAAACCTCCGAGCCTGGAGGTGGGGGGGATGTGGTCAGCATCATGCTCCAGCCGGCCTGTTACCCCCGGTACTCACTTGGACAGCAGGCTGAGTGGACCTGGGAATTAGAGAAGCTCCATCGCCTGCCCCTACCTGGGATTGAATCCAGGACCTTCCGGTCAGGAGCGAGACGCCCTTGCCGTCTGAGCTACCACGGCTTTTGAGTCTCGTAAGGAACACTTAAATCGATCCCCTCCATTTAAAGACACTCCCGGGGCCGTATAATAAAGGACCCCTCCATAAATTCTTCTTTTTTTTTAAAGGTAAAGATGATCGTTTTTCACTCAGTGGAAGCGTGGACGCGCAGGCGGAGAGCTCTGTTCTGAGAAGGCTTTCTTGAAAGTGTATCGCACTAGACAGGGAAGATGACAGATCTCAGATGCTGAACGCCGGCAGTGAATTACCCAGAGGCGCAGCCGGTCAGGGCATGCTGCAAACCCACCGAACTGTACGTGCACAGACTTCCTCAGGGCTAGGAGCAATTAAATCAACTTCTTGCGCCAAGGGGATGCCAAGTCTATAAAGCTTGTTGTCCCTCTAGAACTGTGCAATTATTACTATCGCTCTATAGAAGAAAGGGCAAATCACACTTGGGCATCGAACTGGTCTGTCACATTTATTTTTCAAACAAAAACTCGCATCGCAATAAAGGGGATAATTACTGGACAGAACAGTAGTATCGTGCCCTCTGCACCGTGCGCTAACACGTCCGTCACAGTTTACGGTATTTGCAAGGCAGGGTTGTTGTGTTGAAAAGCCGCCTCTCGTTGTGACGTGCTAATGTGCTGAAGAAGAAATCGATCAAGGGTTATTCGTCTTCCTACAGGCCGGAGGGAGCGGGGGAGCGCAGGAAAAGCGGCCAAGACAACCCAGCCCTGGAGGTTGAAGTCTCCGAAGCTAAAGACAGCTCCCAGACCAGTTTTTAATGCCAGCGACTGCGTCGAAAATGTTTTTTTTTTGTATTAATCGGCTGGGGAGCCCTTACCTCTCTTGTGATAGTAGTGGTGTTTTCAGGGACAAAGAGATCAGTTGCATTCGCTAGCATCCCCCGATGTTCAGCACCGGCCGCAGACAAATTCCCGAGCGGTCGCCCGCCTATCAGACTTAGGCTACAAAGGCCAGCTGTTAAAATATCGATTAGGAATGTGGATTATTGAAATTAACACTGGGATCTCAAACACATTTCATTGGTGTTTTACGTTTTTTGTTTGAAGTTATGCAGCCAATTAAACAATTAAATTATTTTCTTAGACACACAGTATGTAGTTTTTTCTTAATGTCCTTTACAGTTGTGAACTCGAAACACTGATTTAATTACAGGTACAGTTATCTATTAAACACTACGGAGCGTGGTTAGAAATACTGAAATATTTCTGCACAATTACGCAGTTAATTAAACCAACAAATAAATCAACTAAAGTACGTGCAAACCAACTACGGAACCTACTGTTGCAAAAAACAACAACAGTTCTAAACTTTGAAATAATGAAAAAAACAACATACAAATGGTCCTATTTCTTTGTTCCCCAAAGCATGGATATACATATAGCGGATGTAACAAAAACGCATAACAATGCAATGCACACTTGCACAATTCAATTAATCGCTTTCCTTTCTGTTGAGGTACAAAATGTTTCCAAACTATCAGCACTTGTTTCATTTAAAAGGCGGATATTTATATAGTGTTGTTAAAAGAGTTCAGCGTGTCGGAAATGATTTTTATGTTTTTTTTTTAAAGCGATATTCTAGAATTAAAACAAAAACATCCTCCGGCCGATCTTGGAGTGAGAAATGAACAATCGTTTTACTGTAACAAAGCTGTCATATCGAAAGTCTGCGATGTTGAAGGGAAACTCTCTAAATCATCCACAGCACAAGCCTTCAGGAAGAGAGCGTAGAGGAGTTTATTGTCATATATACTGCACACGGACACTGGAAGTACATTACAAAACGGTACCTAGTATGGACAGTCATTAAGCAGCCAGAACAATAAATACAGTACATGGTAGAGAGCAATAAGGCTTAAATAAGTTAACCCGCACACGCCTTACCTACAAGAATTTAATACTATTGCCTCGGTCTGGTGCTGTGGATGATTTAGCAATGCCTGCATAAACAGCCCGGCCCGGAGATGAACGCAATTAGCGTAACGCTATCTAAAAATTATAAATAAATTAGTCAAGTCAGACAGTCCACCGTCATCTGGCCCATTTTAAGGTAAGTGTGTGTTTTTTTTACGGACCACTAGGTGGCAACAGAGTCGTTCTGACTGAAAGCAAAGCCTGTTAATGTATTTAAAGTCAGCCGCTACCCCTGCGTGAGGCTAGCGGTCTGAAGATGGAAAGATTGATGCCGAAGATCACTCAAAAATAAATTAAGAAAAGTCCTTCGTTTAAGGTCATACAAGGTAGTATTTGAAGCCTCTTATCCCTCTAGGAAATCTCTTACAATCACTAACCAAAACTTACACTACTCTTTTCAATAAAAGAAAAACGTTATTTTTACCAGATACGTATCTTATCCAATTAGAAAAGCAGTAGTTAGTAAAAAAAAATACAACTAGCAAACTATTTAAACTAGCTTTGCCACCCAAAGAAAACAGTGTTTTCAGATGTCTTGGGAAGGACAAAAGCCAGCTCCTCATATTTCAATAAGATTGCTCTTTCATGTAGGTTTCATGTGAGAGTGTAGTATTCCGAGTTGTGCCCAGAACCTATTTAATATTTAACATAAACATTTATAAACCGAACGAATGATTTGCTGTTCAGAAAATAGTCGTACCTACACCACTTTCCAAGAAAAACATCTCTGTGAAGATGCTGACTGCAGTTTCTGGATGGGCAGAAAGAGAATCGTGTTAAATTCAGTTAAAATCCAAGCCCTACGTATTTCTATACCATTAGAATCATCACAAAACAACTGTTTTCTCTTATTTCATTTGAAATATATATATATTTTTAAGTAAAGTATCTTAGCCTAAAAACGAACATTATGGAAACAAATGACGTATTCCTAAAGTTTAACACACGAGTCATGCAGAAATTCTTCGTGTCTCCATTAGCAGATATAAAGGAACACAGGAAATAATTCCTAAATTGATGTGCATTTGTCCAAGTCACATTGAATTTGATTTTAAAATTACTCCACAAAGAATGTTAAGCCAAAGCAGTTGTACGGCAGAATAAAATTACCTCGGGGTACTGTATCTACTTTGATTCAAAACTAACTTTGACACAGGAGTGCTGCTGTCGAGTCCAAGCAAAATTCAAACCTGGACAGAGACGTCCCACAAAGAAATAAACCCATTACAATGTTACGTGAGTGTTCCTTTGTTTTTACTAATGTATTATCAGTCTTCCCTCTATTTTTTAAACTATTTCCCTAGTGGAAATGTCAAATGCTTTCAGTAGAGCTTGTTTCCAGTTCCCTAATCTGGTATTTATTGCTATGAACTGCCGTAGAATGTGCAGCAGTTATCTGCGACTGGTAATTTAATGATTGATGGCAGAAAGTACATCAAACTCGGATTTTCCTATCCTGGTCCCAGAGGGCCGGTGATCCTGCAGGTTCCAGCAGAGCCCGGTTTGCCTCCTGGACCAGATCTAACAGCGTCTCCCAGCTCTTCAATTCCTGCTGCTTTGAACAGACACAAACCTGCAGATACACCTGTCCTCCGGGACCAGGACCGGACACCACTGACGCAGTCTGTCTCTTTAAAAGTGATGCTGTCATAAACTGGTTGGGCACTAGTAGGTGTTGAAACGTCCAGAACTAGTCTAACCTGTAGATAGCAGATAAACAATTTCTACCGCGATTTTGCTCTCGGGAGACTTTGTTTTGAAAGGTCACGGTGACAGTTTAAATGAACCCTTCTGGGGTTGAAATTGCTTGATTCCCTTACAGCGGGCGGATTGCGCGTTAAACGCAATTTTGCGGCGCAGGTCTGACCGACCCGCTGTGTCCTGACAATGAACGTTGTTAATTTGGTTCCTTCTGAAAATGACTTCACCGACTCAATTTAGCTGAACGGGTCGTGTGGGTGCCGGAACAAGGTTAGAGGTGTCGTGTCCGCAAGACTTTAAAGGACCGGCAGCCCAGGTGATATTCCCCTCTTGACCCGACGAAAACAAAATCACACGTTGAAAATCAAATCAATGAACTGACATTCAGAATAATGCAATGTAAATGTGCGTCATGTAAAGGGGTTAAACAGCTACTCTTTTATTTATTACTGCTGGACAAGCAGGTCAAAGCCTCTCTCAAGGTACGGCGGCACGAGCTACATTACATGTACCAGAGTATTACAAATTGATCAAATTGATCTTGCACGTTTGCGATTTTCCTCATCGATACCCCACGTTCCCGACGTCAACTTCACGCACCAGTGACACCGACACCTGATGTTGTTACACGTGGTTGTTCATTCTAGTTCCCTCCTTTGGAAATCGAAAGGAACAGCATAACAACAGCACTAGGCCGCCTCATAATTATTATTTCTTTTTCTCTGATAGTGGTAAATTAAAGTACTAAAGAGGGCTTTTTTTCTTTATGTACAGGCCTGCACAAATATTCATCTCCTGTCAGTAAGATCGCATCTTGACGAATTACAAGCGATGTACACAATTTTATTTTTTTGAATGAACTATTTGTATTCAACACAGTAACGATAAATTGAGCGCTGCGAAGGAGCATGAAACAGCCAAGCCTGCAAAGAAGATATAATAAGTGAAATTTGCTGGTTGCATAAGAATTCAGCCCCTCCTGAGGCAGTTCTTAGTGGACACGAACGTCTCTGGCAGCTATTGCTGTGGTCAAGAGTTCTGGAAAGATCCCTACAAGCTTTGCACAGTGAGATGGTGCGAGTTTGTCGATTCTTCCAGGCAAAATTGAGAAAGACTGACAGCATCCTACTCCTTATCGTTGCATCTCTACCACTTCATCCTTAAGGTGGTTTTCTGTGGCCTGGCTGAGAGTCGCCATCCATCTGAAGGAGCTTACAGAGAGGTGCATATACTCTGAAGTCACTTTGAATATATTGTGTACACAGAAAGACGTTACGTTACTTTTGTGACCCTTCAGCCTTTACGTTATATTAATTTTGCCCCCTTGGATTGCCGTAGCAAACGGGTTGTTTTATGCGATTGCAGATCTTCTAATTAATTCCCTTTACAAATCTAATTGACATACTTTCAGCATTTTTTTTTTGCCTTTATCAATTTGGGGGTAGGTTGTGAGGATTCTAACTATTAAGTTTTATTTTTAAGGGTTTTGACTGCAAGCTTATCTGGAAACAAAAAGTGGAGACGTCACGTGTGAGGGGGTGAATAAGTTTGCTAATTATTATTTTAAAAATAATTCTGTGTATGAGCTCAGTATGCAATTCCGCTAAACCCCAAATCTGATATTTTTTTCTGATTTTTTAAATCTCTGTTGATATACGCTTAATACAGTTATATACGGTTGAACGTCCATTTATTACGTAGTCAATTAACATGATGCTAAGCAACTGTTTTTACGCGTAAAACTGCGACGCGACAATTACGGAGAAAACAGAACAGAAAACGTATTTAAACTTAAGGTAAAGTGATGCTTTTACTTCAGTACTAGGAAATAATTGTTTTAGTTCGCTATAGCTGAATGTTTTTTGTGGAGAAAATGTGAAAACAAACACTGGGAGCTATCGGTTTCTGACTCAGCATGTGGAAAAACGGGTTGAACGCTCCCCAATTTTCTAATTAAATTTACATCCATGAAAAAAGATATTACTTTAAGTTTCGCTAAAAAATAACCATACCTTTACTTTGTAATTGCACTGCTAATTATTTCTAGCTCTACGTGCTTAAACAAGTTTGCAGCTGTGGCTTGATACGCACCATGACTTTCAAAAACAAAACCAACTAGGCCGCTAATCTGAACATTTTAATTAAAGCCTTTAACGGCCTTGTCTTCAGAAATTTTAAAAAAAAAATCTACCTGATTTTACTTGCTAAGCTTGTGAACTTTTTTCCACAGTGGAGACTCTCGCTGGCCTTTTTGTGAAGCCTCCCTGCTTTTTTCTAATTATACAGTACATATATGTCTGTAATTTATTAATAGGTTCAGGTTGTGTTGTGTGTCTTTTACCTGCCCATCTGGGACAATAAAAGTTAGTAGGCACTCTGCTTGCCAGAACAGCCCTCACCAGGGAGTAGTGGGTTAAAGCTGGTCTGGTGCTTTAAAATCTGGCTGTGAAGTTTTGCACCTTTCTCTGTTAGTAAAACGCTGTAAAGAGAGGAGCACAGAGCCTATCAAGCTGCAGATCCAGACATAATGGGATATCCCTGTTGGGTTTTTCGTGCATGATATGGCTTTGCTCTGCTGAGTTAATTGTTGTAGCTCGGCACTCACTGGATTCTCTCAAATTAGGATCCTGTTTCCCTTTGATTCAGGAAGGGAAACAGCCCTGCAATCAAAAATCTATAGTAGTAGTAGCAGCAGTAATAAGAATTAATGATAATAATTTAAAAAGCATCTTTGCCAAACCATTGCTGCTTCATTCCTTGCCATCGGAAATCCAGCAAGAGGGTATTTTAAAAATGTCTTTCGTTTCTAGGAGCATTTAATAAGCTGAAGAGATTGTTTCAGTGTAATATCGGGCTGTTTCAGTGTACTCCCTGCCCATTCCTGCAGTGTTTCTCCAGAGGTTAAATTTAATCTTCCCGAGCTTGGAAGTTTGGAACCATGTAGTGGTTTATGAGATTGAAAGAACACTGGGTCATGCATTTAATGACAATCATCTATAATTTACGCTCCTTTGTTCAAAAGTGGGTTGCAAGTAGTGAGTGGAGCAGGGGAGGGGAAAACGGAGACTTCGTGATTGCACAGGCAGGGTTTTGCTAATACTTCACAGATCCATCCCATTAAATGCACAAGCCAAACGACATTTTAAAGGCATTCTCTCAGGATATCTTATGACAAGGAGACCCAGAATGAAGGATTTGGCAATGTTTGTTTTTTACTCTGGCAAGACTGTCTACAGGATATAGGACGTCTGCATGGCTGGTCATTACCTCGGTTACAGAAGCAGACGAGCTCCACTGTCTCTTTGCCATGGTTGACCAGTGCTCTCTCTGGACTCCTGTCTTTGAAAACAAAACTGCACATTATAAGCAATAAATCTTCATGGAGCATTTTTAATACGGTTATATCTTTCATGGGATGGACTTAATAAGCTTCCTTACACTGTTTTATGAGAAAAGTTAAATGTGATTGTTATATAGCATAAGGGGAAATATGTGGTGCTGGCACTAAATAATTAGCTAATCCCGTCATTCTATAAAATGGAAAAAAAAGAAGCTGTACCAGAATTCTTCGTGAAACAGGCATTTTTGATTTTGTATTGTAGCTTGGCCACATCTCATTTTGAGAGAGTTGTCACATGCCGTTTTTAATGTTGAGTGTTTTAAGTTCTGTTTCTTATTTAGCTGGTTTTGAGTTTCTCTCTGTGGGTGGTAGTGTAGACAATGTGGGTAGTACACATGGCCTGTGTGAGTATTCTTTTGAATATCCGTGCAGCACATTTTAAATGGAGTCAAGTAATTGTCTTTTACGATATTTAAGAACAGCTGTGGGATTTACAATGCAGTGCTCTAAAAAAGCAGTTAGCTTTTCACTAAATAGACAAACGTTTGACCTTGTATCTTCTGTCGAAATAATTCTTGATTCTAAGACTGGTCACTCACTAGCTTCTGACAAGTCACTGCAACATTTCTGAGTCAAACCACAATGGAACATGGAGGAATGGTAGCATAGTACTGGGAAAACATGGCAAAAAACGTCAAGTGAACCTTCAAACACTTTTTATTGGGTCATTTAAGGAACAGTAAGCCCTTCTTTGACATTGAGTATTTCTTATTTTAAGTTCGAGACCAAGATTTCCCCTGCAACAAGCGCAAAGGACCAGGCAAGCACCTGGAGCTCCCTACAGCCTAGATATATGTTGCTGTCAAAAGAATTTTGGAAGAAGACAGTAGACATTTGTAAGCCCCTGGTCAGAGTGACCCGTTCCTCTGCAGCTGTGAAAACACATCCGAGCACCAGGCCTTAGCAACCAGCCCATCGCCACGGCCTTCTGCAGCTGGGATAACTCCATCCTGAAGGAAGCTTTGAGAGAACTTAATCCTTTGAAAGAGAGACTTATTTCTGAATTGAAAAACAAACAGACGAATAGGATTTAGTAATTAAAAGACTTAAAGACTTTTAAAATGTATGTTGAGAGTAAGACAACTGAAGGTGTGTTGTAAGTCGTACCATTTGTCAATGTTAGGTTACAAAGGTCAAATAAAGTCCAACTATGTTATACAGAACTATTATAAAAAAACTTAAAAAAAAAGTTTTTTCATGTTGTAGCCTTGTTGTATTTAACAATTCATTTTCCAAAGTAATTGACATTGCCTCAGTATTTTTGTACTCTTATTTCAGTTGATAGTTCAAATTGGCAGCTATCACGGCAGTAATATTTTCATATCCAATAACAAGCCAGTGCACGTTTTCAGAATTAACAGCAAACCAAAAACTAGAAGATATAAGGGGAAACGCATTTAAGACAGAAGCGGTTCTGTACAGAAAGGGATGTTGGAGTCTTGAACAAGCGACCCATCCACACGTTGAAGCTGGCTGCTGAGATCCTTGATTCACCTCACTACTGGTATCCCAAAAGAGCTCCGAAAGTCTGAGAATGATCAGGGCAGCAGCAACTGAATGAGTTTATAGCATAGTTGGGACATTCTTCGGTGTCAAGTCTTTTTCCACTGACCTAATTTCCTGAAATAAGGCCCCTTCCTCAAACTGTTGATTAAATGTTATTTTTAAAACTGAAATCTATAATATATCTTTTCAATGGGGAGAAAAAAGAATCTGCTATCCTTCTTAACGTGGTATTCAGATCTGATTGAGCCGAAGGGAAACAGAAAAGTAAGCAGTAAAGACTTGTTTTAGTTTAATTTAATTTCAGTTGTTTGAAACTTAAATACCCACCAGTGGAAAGAGAGGGTGTTGCCGAGGCTGATACCCTGGCTCCTTTCAAGAAAAGGCTGGACGAGATCCTAGAATAAATTATCTACTAACAAACATATGAGCTAGGCAGCTTCCTCTTATATGTAATCTTTCTCACATTCTTTCTTTCAAATAGCACACAGCTAAGCAGTGTAGCGTAGTTCAGAAAATGGAAACAATTTCACAGTCTGCACTTATTTCCCTTTCTTACCTGTGACTGCATAACAAACATTGAGGACGAGAGAGGATGTGACTCCCCCCTGGATGGTACACTGATCAGGGATTACTTCCCAGTAATGCTGATCCCCATGTACACAGCTGGGCAGACTGGAGCAAATGTGGTAGAGTACTTCACTCAGGGTACACAGCAGGAACTTGAACCCACTCCCACCAGTCGTGAGGACAAAGGCTTACCCACTCCACTGTGCCATATCCTTGGATATTTAGTTCTGAGTTTTATATTGCCTACACAGGGTCAGTTCTATACCTGCAAATCTTACTGCTTCCATTCATTCATTTCCTGTTTGTGTGGGTGGCATTTTTACTTCTTACTATCATTCTTTGTCAACATTTTCATGCTTCAGTCAAACTGGCCACAAGCTCTGTGCGTAAGCGCCTAACAATGGAAAAAAACACAAATATTATTCATACACCCACATGCAAGCAAAATCTAATCGCAAATGCAACTAGTGACGCATAAACAATACACAGGATCTTGGCTGAGTAGGCCAATTGACAAACCACTGAGTTAGGTGTAACCCTGAAAAGGAGCCCAGTGTTATTCCATGTTATGTAGGTAGTAAGAGATGACCAGACATGTCACTGGATGCAGGGAAAACGTCTGTCAGCTCAACCAAAATCTAGCTACAGTGTTTCAGAATATAATGTAGATTGGTGTGTTAGTGAGGGTTAAGTTATTATTGCATTACCCTATATAACTGGGAAGCTGGGGGGGGGTGTTAGTGCAAGCATGAAAAGTGAGTTTATTAAACATCTTATGTGAGTCTGATTGTAGAATAGTGTTTGAAGATTAAGGTGTGCTAGTGCAGTAAATTAGGCAATCAGAAAAATAGCATCCCTACCACAGAATCTGTCCATTCTCTAATATTCAACATAGCTAAATTGCTATATATACAGTATACAGCTAAATTGCAGTGGTGCCATGTCGTAATCGATCAGTTGAGTGCCTGCTTACTCACCAAAGCTCTGGGTCTGTTTTGAAATTCAATCCTCTCCTCATGCAGACTCAAATGAAATACTTAATGAGCAAGCTGTATCACTGGCACCAGCAACCCACAGAGGTACCCTGTGTTATACAAAGACGCCATGGGAGCTCCTTTCCTTCTGTCAGAACGCTGTGTGTATACAGTATGTCTATGTTTAGCTTTCAGTTTAAAAATAGTCTGAGACATGAAAGGCAGGGCTCTGGATTGGGTTTGAGCATCTGGATTAACAAAGAGGAGTTGCACATTGTGCTTCTTACAGCCAGTAACATCAACAGGTTGCTTATGACTTTCTTAGATGAATAGCATGATGCAATTAATGAACATTAACATTAACGGTGTTTTTTCTGGGCTTTTGTTGTAGATGAGGAGCCGGGGCAGCGAGATGCAGCGAGTCCCGTGCAGAAGCGTGGAGCAGTGGCGTCCAGATTGTACTGCCTCAGAAGGTAAGCAGGGGGAACCCAGGCACAGTTGAAAAACCATTCCAGTAAAATATAATAAGAAATGTTAAAGTCAGCATGTTTGGGATGAGAAATTGGACACTTTGCTCCAAGCTAGCAAGCACTGCAGCCAATTTTCTTCCTTCCTTTTCCAACCTCTTGCTATCAATCACCCGCGAGTGCCCTCTTATGAAAATACTGGTGTGGAATGAGCTGCGACCCTGGCTGCTGCCTCCCCGAGTCGCTGGACTCCACAGCGGTGTGCTGCCCCACCGAGCCAGGGCCCTGCAGAGACAGCCCCAAGTAGACTAAAACAAACGAGCCGTCTGGGAGCCCCCCGCAAGCCCCCGCCCCACAACCACTAAATGCAAAAACACACAACCGTCATCAGCAGTGTAGTGGCTGCTGGCCTGTTTGGATAAGCTAGCTGGCATGTGGCCCCTCAGCCCCCTCTAGAGGCAGGGTTCAAAAGGTGAAGGTGAAAGCAACCGATGCAGCGCTGAGGCTGGCTGAAGGCCTGAGACTGACCTGCAGCAAAAACTCCTAACTACCCCCAACAGAAACATCAGGGCTTTCTGGGTGAAACGCTTAGTTATGAAACTGCTAGTGGTTTGGATTGTCTTGTAGTGATTGTAATTAGTGTTTGGTGCCGTTCCCTTGCTGGTGTCTCTGTTGCTATTATAGTTTTCTCTGGGCTTTGAGTGTATCATCAAGTGGCTGCAGTGTTCAGCTTATCTGAAAGTAGACAATTTGACATCGTGAGACATTTTCTTTTGCGTCTGTTTTTCTACATTCTTTGACAGCCTTTCTAATCGTCTGTATCCTTATTTTTAAACTAAATTGCATGTCAGATGTCCTTTATGATCCTGCCTATTAGAGGTACTTTAAAAAGCAGTTTAGATTTATTGAACATTCCTCAGTTGTGCCAAAGCCCATCAGTCACCTCCTGATGAATGGCCATGGAAACGCAGCCACTTGGTGAAACAAAGCCGCCTCAATGCCTTGGCCAAAAGACAGCTTGTCTTGCTTTAGATATCACAGGCCACAGCGTGTTTCATCACTAGCCCTGTATGAAGCTTTGGGAAAATTGAGAACAGACTGCACATTTTTTTTTTTGTTTTCATTGAATTGCTAATTTTTGCTGGGGTGTATCTGGAGCTGAATTAAACTTCATCAGTTCTGTAGTTTTCCTGCTGCATCTCCATCTCGCCCCTGATTTACAACCACACAAGGACACCTGCGCCCCATGTTACGAAACCAGATGGAGCCCAGTCCTGTCGTAACCAGTTCTTTCTGTCACTTGTTCCCTACACAATGCTGTATTCATGTTCTATTCAATGTTCGTATTCACATCCTTGTGCAGTATTCATGATTGAGTTTCTTTTTGGGTTTTCTCTGAAAAAGGATTTAATTGCTGTTTTGGTTTAGAAACAGAAATCACATTGACAACGTGCTGTTGCTGCATTTTTGCCGCTCTTAATATTTCGTGGAATATGACCGTTTTAAAGGAGCAGCACAGGGGTGCAGTGGTTAACATGGCTGCCTCGCAGCACTGGGGCCCTGGGTTCGATTCTGGACCTGGGGTGCCGTCTGTGTGGAGTTTGTATGTTCCTCATGCATTCACATGGGTTTTCTCCAGGGCACCAGTGCTGGGAGCATTTTGTCCTGCAGTCTAAAGACAAACTGGTACGTTAGTTGGCTTCTGGGAATACTGGCCCTGGTGTGAGTGCAAGTGGTGTGATGGACAGGCATCTCCTACTGTGCTCCTGTTACTTGTTGGGATAGGTTCAAGCTCCTCCACGACCCTGGATTGAATGTGGAGGTTTGAAAATGGTTGGATGGATGAACCTTTTAAAGCCGAAGAAGGGTACGATCTGTAAGCGATTAAAATGATGGAATGTACTCTTGGTACCTTGCATAGAATTCTCCGCTTGTCTGATTGCTGGGCACGACCCAGAGTTCAGCCCCACAGATGTGCCGCCAGATTTGCAGAGTCATTGGAACGTCTGCTGGCAGTTTGGCAGCCCCTGGTTGCTGTGAGTTTGCCCAGGCCTCTCCTCAGCCTTGCACAAAATGTCAAGAGATGACAGAATGTTGTTTTTGTTTGTTATTTTGTTTGAACGGCGTAGTACGCTTTCTGCCAGTGCTCCATGTCTAAATGTGCAGAGTGATATCATTTCAATGTGCCAAGGCCTTTAAAGAAAACCAACCCATCGCTTTTTTTTTTTACATCTGTTGAAAAGCATGAAGTACATTTCTTTGGCTAACAGTACAGAGCATGCAGTATATTTACAAGATAAAGTAGCTGCCAGTATGTTTTTAAAGGATAACGTTTTAAGACAGTTTTAAGAAAAATATCATTTTTTTCTTACTTCCCTTTCCTGCTGTGTATGAATTGAGTTTGCAGAGAACCTGAAATGACTAGTGTTTAGTTATAACTCTTTCTCAACCATCATTTCTCATCAGTTCCTGTAGTCACTGCCACGGTGTTAGATTGCATTGGTTATCTCCCTGCTTGACCTGTCTTAATGTAGATGTCCTGTGCCATGTGAGAGTGCTTTGTGTGGGTTGGGTCATAGAAAGGAGTCGAGAAGAATGTTCGACTGTCTTGAGGGGTCTGTGTTTAAAGGGAAGATGCTCATGGACACACTACTTTGAAACAAGCAATAACTGCTGTTGTATGATGTTGTGTAGCTCCATATCCCTGTGTTCAGTGCGTTGAGGATTGGAGTGAGGGATTCACCTGTGTCCAACTAAAGATTAATTCCACCCTGAAAAGTATAAAGAAGAAACGTAATGTTTCAGCCGTTTGTGCCTCTTTCTTCAGGCGACACCTCTGAATCATCAAAGATCAAAGTGAACTGCACTGCCAAACCAACCCTTCGGGTTGTTGGGAATTTTGTGTGGTGTGCTCGAAATAACAGAGATGCAAAAAGAGAAAGAAAAAAATATAGATAATTTACTGTACACATATCTACACAAAACGCAGTACAATGCTACATAATAGTGAGTTAAAAGGCCAAACAGCCTCAGGAAATGTGTTCTAGATACATGTTGATACATCTTAGACTTCTTCATAAGGGAAGAAACTTAAAACGAGGGAAAAACTGGGTGGGAATAGTCACTGATAATCTTTTGAGTTTGACCAATTTAAATGTGTTGCAGATTTGAAAGCAACAGATGGCGAGTCGCCGTCAGTTATTTTAGAAGTTGTTCCCAAACCAGAATGGTTGTTTCTGCTTTCTACTTTTCACTCTGATGCAGCTCTCCATTGGAACTTCGTCCAATAAAAGAGGCTTGTTTTGCACTAACCTCTAAGAAATCACATTGGAGGGCCGGAGTGCTTCGGTTTTTTGCGCACCAACATATGTTGTGCTTCCTTTAATTGTTTCGCAAAGTACTCATTGCAGCTTCTGCAAAATTATTGTCTTTTGGGTATCCTGGTCAGAACCTGAGAGCAGCTTGCTATAAACAGCAGTCGAACTGCGCTGTAAAAGCACTCTGCACAACATATTTTATTGATATTGTGGTTTTCTGTTTACATCTCGATTGTTGTTGTTTTGGAAAAACAGATAAAACATTTTTGTTACGTTTCTTTTTTTAAAGGTTTTTGCGCAGAGCTTTTTTACTGCCAGGGTCCTCTTAACGACTGTGGGTCACTTTTTAATGTATCAATATGCAATTTCTTCAGCAGCCTCTATATAATTTTGTGACCTAATTGCTATCATATTGCAGAAAAGCAGAGTCTATGGGGAATAAGGGCTTTGTTTTGACATCTGGAACCCATTGACGCAGCGTTTTTACAAGTCATTCACATAACATACTGTAAATTGTGTTATTAAATTCATAAGCGCAGGCCTGAGAGAAACAGGGAAATCTTTTTACACAGAAGTGCCTGTCAACTAAAATAAGACTTAAGTGTGATTAAACTGCCTGTGAGTTAGGAGGTTGCAGCATTTAGCATATATAGTCCCTGTTCTCTGAGCTCAGTAATGAGAGAGATTCTTTATCGCATATTGTTGGAATAATTATTTAAAGCTATTAAATTTATTAAACAATTATACCCACCTGAACTAATTATTTAAAGGCCTGTTGTGATGATTGACCAAATACCCTGTATATTTTAAAGTATATATTTAAAATACAAAACTGATATAACATATTTGGATACATCTCCACCCTCATCTGCAAATACGGCTGTGAGTCTGTTGGGATGGGCCCCTACCAACGTTTGAACAACTTTTGAACAAATATGTCCACTTTTGAACAAAACGGTTCATGCTCTGTCAAGTTCCTGGTGCAGAGCTGATGGACAGCAATCTTCAAGTCATGCCACAAATTCTCAGTTGGATTTTGGTGGGGCTCTGAATAGGCCACTTAATTACATTTACCTGGTGGACTTTCTTGCAGAAGGCAGGTGTTCCTCAGGAACGTTTCTGTACTGTGTTCCATTGACTTTGACATCCTGACAACGTTATGCTTCACCAGCATGCTTCATCAGCTGGGATAATGTTCCTTAGGTATTGTGCTATGTTAGGCTTATGCCAAATGTAATTTCTTACATTTTAGCTTAATCAGACCACAAAATGTTTTGCCCCTTGTTTGCAATTTCACTTAATGTTAGTCCCTTCCCCCAAATGGAAGTCAAGGTCAGTGTCCTCTTGGAATGGATGTGCCCTTTAATAATCTTGAATTATATTGGAAAGTATACACTGTACAGGCCTAGGTACTGTGTTAGGGTCATGAATTAAACAGAACCACTTGGAAATCCTGTCTGAATATTTTTTTATATGTTTGTCTCAGTACACACATCAGAAAAAAATATCCAGAACACAAACAGAAGGGAACATTTTTTAAATGAAGAAACAACCTGGATTTGTTTTTTATTAGCCAACTTGTTAGCCATCTTGTAAAATAGAATTGGAATCACATGGGTTAGGTGGCATTTTGATGCATTTCTGTAGGTTTCAAGCTAATATCAGGATTGAAACATTGCCACAATATAC